AGATGATAGATAGATAGATAGATGATAGATAGATAGATAGATAGATAGATAGATAGATAGATAGATAGATAGATAGATAGATAGATAAATTATCCTGCCTGTATTCCACTCACTCTCGTGGTGGGGACGGAGTGATTTGATCTAACGAGGGTCTTGTTTGCAAACGACATTGGAAAACTGCAACAATTGTTTTCTCCCCTGCAGACAAAGCCGAAAACCCCAAGAAAACAGAGCCGGAAGAAGAAGAAGTTGATATCGATTTAAATGCCCCCGAAACGGAGAAGGCCGCTCTCGCCATCCAGGGGAAATTCCGACGTTTCCAAAAACGGAAGCAGGATCCCAGTTCCTGAGCCTTTCGGAAGTCTTCCCACCTCGCCTTGACGCGCTTTTCCTTCTCCTGCCCCCCCCCCCCAAAACCCCGCCGCGATTCCATTTTCCTCTCTTCCCACCACGACGAAGGGGGGTGGTGTCCTCTGATCTTCAATTAATTTTAATTTTTGCACGTCCTGGGAAAATGGTCAAAGCAGAGGAAGGGAGGGGATGGGGTGAGGTGAGTGGAAGGGGGTGCTGAGCACACACAGGCCTTCCACTCTGCTTCACCGGAAGCCACCGAGAGATGTCGTTCAGTCCCCGACTTACGACTGGTCGTGTCTTATCATCAAGGGAGGGGTTGTTACTCTATAAATGGAGGGTTGAGATTTTAATCTTCCGTTTAGGAGATTGGGAAAACAGTTCCCACACTTTGATGCCAACTTCTACAGCGCCACATGGAAGGGAAATTATTTTTTCCCGCCCTGCGAGGTTGGTTCGCTAAAATTCTTCAAACCTTGCTATAAAGTTTTAAATCCTTTGGGTACCCGCCAAAAACCCCTTGCATAATTGCGAAAACGGAAAATTTGCGAGCCACGTCCAAGTTCCATTCGCAAGCTAGGATTTGAAAACGGGTCCGTTTTGTGTCCCAATGTGGTCGCCAAATATTTCCTTCCCTGCCTGACCGAGGATTCTAGGACAACTCTCCGCGGCCAACCCAACTTGCCGCGGGACAATTCAACGCCGCATTCATCATTTCATTCAGTGACTTTGTTTTCTTAATGGCGACCACGCTGTCATCCCAATCGTCGTGATTCTTGCATTTCCGGTTTGACGTCCTTCACGTGGTTATTACTGGCTGCGGTTCCATCAAAATTAAGTTAACTTTCGTATTTTGTTGGATTGTCTTGTGACGAGTTGCCCCCGTGGCAAGTTAGCCGTAGTCGGTCGTCCCATTCCATTGACCGAAGGCCTCCTAAAAATCCTGGCAAATTCATTCAAAGAACGAAAAGCATCGATGCAGGGGAAATATTCACTTGAAATTCTAAAGTAAACCCCGTTTCGAAACGAGAAAATCGAGCAACGAGGCTCAATGCCAACATGTTGGAAAGAGGGGAAATGTGATGATGGGATCCCACTTTTCTCAAGAGCCAACCTCGCACAAGAGGCACCTGTCTTTTGCACCGATAAGAGTGAAACCGTGAGCAAGATTGGGAGCTCCCACCCACGGAAACATTTTTGTGAGTCCGATATGCTTTCTACGAAGTCAGCTTCAAGCCATTCTTCGCCAAAAGAACATCCAAGTGTTACTACCAAACTCCGTGTCCATCCTACATGGTCACCAGATCTCAGCACCCCAGATTCTCTGTCCATTCACCCACAAAAAGGGCTGCTAGCTACAAAGCCATGCTTCCCTCCTCAGGGCCCAGTTTATTATGAGCCAAGAAAATAAACAAGAACAAGCCGAAATCTATCCGTCAACGTCACGCACACATTTTCCCCCAACCCCACTTAGCTGCCTCACAGCCATTCCACTTCTGGGCCAGTGGTGGATGCAAAATTCTACGGCGGACAATAAAACATTGTCAAGAATGAATAAAAGTTGTCATCCTGGGCACTGACTGACCTGCTTTGAAGACTGACACGTTTAGCATGTTAATAAAATAATCAGGGGAAAAAAAACAAATTTCGTTTCGTTTTGGTCTTTTCTCTTCGTTTTGTCTGAGTTGTTGACACAGCTCCTATTTGCAGATTTCAGTGTTCTGGTTTTGTAGATAGATGAGATAGATGATAGATGGATGGATGGATGGATGGATGGATGGATGGATGGATGGATGAGATAGATGATAGATGGATGGAGGATAAATGGCTGGCTGGAGAGAGAGAGAGAGAGAGAGAGAGAGAGAGAGAGATGATAGATGATAGATAGATAGAAGACAGATAGATAGATACAGGAAAACAGATTAGATGATAGATAAATGAAAATAGGATAGATGGATGGATGGATGGATAGAAAGATAGATAGATGATAGATAGATGAAAATAGGATGTATGGAGGGATAGATAGAAAGATAGATGATAAATAGATAGGATAGATAGATAATAGAGATGGATGGATGGATGGATGGATAGGATAGATAGAGATGGATGGATAGATAGACAGACAGACAGACAGACAGACAGACAGACAGACAGACAGACAGACA